TGAGGAGAATAAAAAAAGAATAAATAAAATTTTATTTAAAATAAATTAAAGGTTGAAGCTTTGATTACTTTGAGCTCTTATATTTATCATCAAAATTTATTTAAATTAAATAAACAATTTTTAATCAAATAAATATCAGCCTGCTCAGTCCCTGTTTATTTATAAATATAAAGTAAATAATAATATAATTATAAATAAAAAATTTATAAAGTATTCTATTTATTATTTTATTTAAAGCTTACTCTATACAGTTGAAGCTTTTATCACAGATAGTTAATATTTGATTTCAAATACTGATGCAGATTTATCCATTACAGCGACAGAAGAAGAATGAATAGTAAGATTTCAGAGTGTAAAAGAGTAAAAGAAGCTAAAGAAAATGTTATGTAGTGTAATGTTAAAAATGATCAAAAAAAAAAAAAATACTTAAAAGTATGTAAAAAAGAAGTTAGAGAGAAACCTATCATTTGTACTTTTTTTTAGCAATAGGTTCACAACAGTTGTAGTGGAATACAAAATGGTTTTAACTTGGGTTTCTTTTTAGTTTAGAAACTGTTCGTTTAATGAATACAGAGAAGTAGAAAAAAGATATTGAAATAAATAGCAATAAAAAGATAAAGTGTGTTTGTAAAATTTTTTATGTTGTAGATACAACTACACCTTTTCAAGATGTAATTGAGAAAACAAAAATTGTAATTAAGAATCGTAAGATGTAATTGAGAAAACAAAAGTTGTAATTAAGAAACGTAAGATGTAATTGAGAAAATGTAAGTTGTAATTAAGAAACATAAGATGTAATTTAGAAAACGAAAATTGTAATTAAGAATCGTAACATGTAATTGAGAAAATGTAAGTTGTAATTAAGAAATAGAAAGATGTAATTGAGAACACGAAAATTTTAATTTAGATATCGCTTTAAAGGAGTAAGTGTAAAATGGCGCTTAAAAAAATTGCGCGTAAAAAAATGGAGCGTATAAAATGACGCACTTAAAAATGACGCAAGATTTGTAGCGTAAATTTAATTTTTTAGGGAAATATTTAGGGAAAAATTTGGTGACAGAAATGTTGACACGGATTTAGCTTAATCACAGTCTTTCGGGTCATAGTGTATTGGCATATAACACAACGATCTTTCAATTCCATTATTATTACTTGTGCATACAAAAGCAAAATTTAAGATTATAACTTAAATTCATGTCCAAAAAGACCTTTTGTAACAACCTACAAACTTAGACTGTGAATTTGCTATTTTAATTTATGTGTTCTCAATTACAAGTTACGATTTCTCAAGTACATATTATGATTTCTCAATTATATCTTACGTTTTCTCAATTACATGTTGTGTTTCTTAATTACATGTTACGACTTCTTATTTACATGTTGTGTTTCTCAATTACATATAACGTTTTCTCAATTACATGTTGTGTTTCTTAATTACATATTACGACTTCTTAATTACAACTTTCATGTTCTCATTTACATCTTGAAAAGGTGTAGATCAGCTAAGAGTGTTTATTTAAAGAAAGAGTGATCAAGTGCAAAAGATAAATTTGCTCTAGTAATGTTCAGAGATTTTTATCCACTTCTATTAACAAAAGGTGCATTAAAAATAAAAATAAAATATACAGCACATTAAAAGATGCTATATGACATTAATATGGTTTGCACACAAAAAAAGTAGAACTAGAAGTAGAAAAATTTTGGGAGAATGTTTCAAAAAAGTTCAAGTTTAAAAAAAAAACGCTCGGTGCGGTCAAGTATCAGAAACGACATAATGAGAAACTTTCTAACAGGGGCGCTGAGAGCTTTTGCCCTGCCTGGGACAGCAACCCTGACTGGCGTCCTCATTTTTATACAATTTTTCTATATTATTAGTCAAGGACCTTAGTTTTGGTACCTTTTTTGTTTTACACCCCTGCTGATCTGAATGCTGATTAAATTTTTAGCGTATATAGTGCCGAAGCTTCGGCTTCGGCAAAGTAGCTTCGGCCGAAGCTTCGGCTACGGCAAAATTTTAGCTTCGGTACATCCCTAATATATATATTACAATTACTTCAAGATGTAATATATATGTATATATATATGTTAATATATATATATATATATATATATATATATATATATATATATATATATATATATATATATATATATATATATATATATATATATACATATATATATATATATATATATATATATATATATATATATATATATATATATATATATATATATATATATATATATATATATATATATATATATATATATATATATATATATCCAATGGGCACCGGATCAAAAAAAGACGTTCAAAACGTTCAAAAGACGTTAAAACGTATAAGACGTATAAAAGACGTTTTTTTTACGTCCGTGCCCACTGGGTATATATTATAACAACGAAATTTTTGTACGAAAATTTTGAGGCTTTTTGTTTTCAGGCTCGAATCATCGCAGTTTTTTTGCGAAGCATCCTTATTTAATTTAATTATAAACAAATAAAAGTTTAGAGTTTGCTTTATGTCTGGAAGTTAGCTCAAAGGCCAAAAAATGGAATTAATTTTATATTAAAATATTGTAGGATTTTCCTGACAAAATTTTCCAATTTATTCAATGCACTATCTATAGATAAACTTTTATCTGTTGCAAACGTTTTTTCAAAACTTTTAGAATCAGAAGTAAAATACTTTTTCATAAGTCTTGTTAGCGCCGGATTACTCTCAGATGCCTAATTCAACGGGCAGATAACAAATAAAAGGGGCGAGTGGGAATAAAATGGGTGTGGGAATTTTACTTCAAATCTAATAAAGGAGGGAGGGAATTTCTTAATAAAAGGGTGGGTGGGATTTTTTTTGCAGAACGTGAATAAAATAATTTTAATTAAGTATGACTTCTTGTCAATCTGTTTCATAATAATTTCAATAGGATTTAAATATTTTTATATAAGTTTTATATAATGTGAGAAATAAAAGAAAACCTAATTTTTGATATATTGAAATTTACAATGTTTTTTAAAGGTAAAAGCAATAAAAGTTCTTATTCTTATCAGTGACTAATAATGAGGCCATAGACACTGAACTTTTAAGGGCTCCATTATTTTTCAGTATTATTTTATATTAAATTGTATGACTTATTTTTTTTGAAGTAATAAAAAGTTCATTGATTTAAAAATGTACAAAAAAAATTCAAGTTAATTACAATAATGAAGTAGAAAGTAATTAAATTATTTACTTTATTGATTTGAAAAGAAAGTTTAAAAATTTGGAAACATTCAATTATCTAAATTAAACGTGACACTTATTATTTTGTGGCTTAATGTACAAATCAAAAAGATTGATTTATTTTGATACCTTGCTAAAAGCCACAAGATCAATATTAAAGATCGCTAGTTTATGGTATACTAAAAATTTAGTATACGGTTTACGGTATAATGTATCGTAAAGTATACTGTAAAGTATACCGTAAACAAAACTTTTTTTTTGGCGAAACTGTATTATCGTTTATAAAAAAGTTTTTACGGTTTACTCATAAAAAATGCTTTTTTTTTTAATTGTTAGATGTATTTGTTTGCGCGTTTTATTATAATATTTGATATAAGCTTATTTATATACAATATTTTTAGAGATAAATATAAAGTAAAGAGCAACACAAACAGCGTGGTATAAAAATTTATTGGTATAACACAATAACAAACTAAAATATTGAAAAATTAAATTAAACAAGTAAAAAATATTAAAAAAACAAATTAAACAAGTAAAATAAAAAACGAATTTTTAAAACCCAATGCTTTTTACAAATAAAAGATATGCCATTAAAACACTAATTTTGCAATCAACTTTTTTTGATATAACTGTTTTATTTTATTAAGATTCGACTGTAAGCGTGTGTAAAGCATCACAAATTTTATAAAAGATGCAAGTTTCGAACCTCCGACAATCTGTTTATGAAGTCAACGCTATATCCAAATATGCTAGATGCGTGTATGAGCTTTATAGCAATCAATATACTTATTTTAAAAACTATTTTCCTTCTTTTTTTTAATATAAAAAATAAACTTTATTAAAATTAACTAAATTAGTTGACTTATTACAAAACTAATTATTGAATAATGTACTGTCATCAAGCAAGAATATGTATGCAAAATTTAAAGAAAATCTTTAATCAGGAAGTGACTCTAAAATTGATTGCAAGATTTCATGCTCACATACAAACAATTAGATAGAGACGACGAGATAATAAAAGCATTGACATGAGACAGTCTAGTGTGTACCACCAGTGGTACACGCTGCCTAATGAGACAGTCTAGTGTGTACCACCGGTGGTACACGCCGGCGTGAACGTGTTAAAGTGTTTTTACCAATGCTTTTATTATCTCGTTGTCTCTATCTAATTGTTTGTATGTTTGTATGCGGCGTGTACCACCGGTGGTACACGCCGCCCAATGAGACAGTCTAGTGTGTACCACCAGTGGTACACGCTGCCCAATGAGATAGTCTAGTGTGTACCACCGGTGGTACACGCCGGCGTGAACGTGTTAATTATGATAATACAATAAATAGTGTAGTTATTTAATACATAAAGAAAATATAATTATTAAAGTTAGTCCAGAAATATTTCATAAATAAAAGTATATAGGTATACTAAAATTCAGTATACCAAATATACGGTAAAGTTTACCGTAAAGTTAGTATACCGTATACCGCAACCTCTAATCAATATTGCATGAAATAAATGAATTAAATCTAGGAGCGTTATTATTTTTATTTTATACCAATGATATGCATATCACATTTCAACACTTACTGATTTAAAAAATTTAAGAAATGGTTGAAAGCAAATAAGTTATCTTTGAACTGAAAAATGCGCTAAACTATCTTTACACTTATCAACAAAAATAATATAATTAACAAATTTAGCATTAAAGAAATCATAATTAAAAAACAAAGAAAGCGCTATAAACAAATTTTTTTGGAAATTACAATTAATAAAAATCTGTCCTGGAGAAACCATAATAATTGAATTAAATAAAATATATCAATAGTTATACTGTAAAATCAAATCTTTTATTAAAAGTTTTTTTAAAAAAAAAAAAAAGAAAAGGTTTTACAAACTTATAAAACCGGAAATAACGCGTCATTATTAAATATACTTTTTAAAGGTTTACTTTTACAAAACCTAAAACTAGTTTAAAATTTTACGGTAATAATTGCTAAATACTCCAATTGATTCTTTGAATCCAGATATTGTCACCAAATTTTCTAAAATACAGACCGTTTTCATTACCTTAAAAAAAAAAATCCATAATGTATAATTACGCATATATAACGTAAATAACGCATAATAACTTTATTTTAATGTTATAAAGGAAATTAGAGAAATAAGTTTTTACTTATCCATATAAAGTAAATAACGCATAATAACTTTATTTTAATGTTATAAAGGAAATTAGAGAAATAAGTTTTTACCCATCCATTGGTTTGTTCCAAACGAAACAACTTGATCGTAATTTCCCTCTAATGTTTTCAAAAGTGTCCAATTAAGATTTTTAGAAATGTTTATTTCAAAATCACGATTTGTAACTGCTAACCACTTTTTATATGTTTTGTTAAACTTTAAATATGACTTCTGGTTTCTGTGTATGGCGTATAACTCACCACTTAAAATGTGATGACCCAAAACTGCTCCTACGCTTGGATCTAATACTAGGAATAAAAAATGATTTTTAACTTACACTATTCAAAACATAAATTAAAAAACTGATATTATTTTCAAATTACTTATAACTTAAAAGTATATAAAATAGCTAACAAAGATTTTTAAAGCGTTATTAGTATTTTTGTTTTTAAATTGTTTTAAGTAAAAATACATTTAATTATTTTAACAAAAAAATCAACAATATCGAAAAGATTTATTACAAATTTGAGTTTTTGGTTAAATTTAATTACAGATTTAGATGTTAATTTGAAAATTTAAGATTATGCAATCGATCTTCCAAAGTAGTTTTCTGTTCTGTTCTAATTCAAAACTACTACAGTAGTCAAAACTACTACAGAAACAGCCGCTAGAGCTTCCACGAGACTACAAATATAGTGCTCTACGCAATTAAAAAATTAAAAAAACTATAAAATATTACAAAAAAAAAAAAAAAAAAAAAAATTAGTTAAAATCAATTTTTTAAACTTATGCAAAATATCTACTGTTTTTCAATCACCATTAAAACCTATACGCTGGACTCAAATATTGGATGCTACCATTGCTCTAAAACACAAATTGTGGCATCTTTAAGTCAGTTTTCAGATTAGGACGAGTAAAAGAAAATTGACAAACCAATCCTATTAAATTACAAGTTTGAATTGTTCAAATTGTCACATTGATAATAGTTGAACACAAACTTCTGAGAAATATTAACATAAACATGAAGATTTTGCAATAAGAGAGTGCAAGCCTATTTTAAGCTCAAAACTTCAAAAAGAAACCCAAAGATTATAAAATTAAGGTGCAATTTAATGAACTTTTTAAAAGATTTTAGGAGCCTTCAAAAAGAATTATTAAATGTAAAAGCTATAATGAGCACGTAAAAATCCAGGACATTCCAGCTACTGTGACCACCATGTAATATATTTGTTAAATTCATGACCAGATGTTATTGATGATAAAAGAAATAAAATTAAATTTTGTAATGGCATTTCATTTTATACACTTTTACTTAAAAATAATAAAAATATGAAAAAAGGCATACTATTTAAATATTGTTATATAAAAGAAAAAAGAAGTTATAATAAATAGTATCATATTATAAACCTTGCCAATGTATACCATCATCTTTAGAAATGAAACATGCTGAACTTCGCATTCTACAATTAAAAACAACAACAAAATCAAAAACCATTAATAAAATAGTAGAAAAAGAATATATTTTTTTTAATTTTACTAATAAGAATTAAGCAGTGTTGTTTAAAATAAAAAAACAAACTGAAAAAGTTTAAAATAAAAAAAACAAACTTAAATTCAAAAAAAAGAAAACTTTTTGCATTTTTGTTACAAGCCTAAATCTTCCAGATGAAGATTTAGGCTAAGTGTTACCTAATTAGATCTAACTAGGTTACATGACCAATAGGAGAGCACTATTAATTTAAATGAAGTTGCATTAAGTTAATTAAAATTTGATAAATAATAAGGAATTGCAAAATGGGGTGGTGGTCAAAAAACTTTTTTTCCTGCAACATCCCCTAAATATATTCCTACTGGTGTACTAACGTAGTGTGAAAAAAAAACTTTTTTAATATTCCATAATTTAATGGTGCCACATGGCCTTAAAAGATTTAATTGGTCCCTAAAAAAAAAATAATTTTTTTTCAAAGTATGTTAGACTGGTACTCAAAAGTTGTGAAATTTTATAAAAGTTTCAAAAATAGTAAATATATTATAGAAAACATGCCTATATATATATATATATATATATATATATATATATATATATATATATATATATATATATATATATATATATATATATATATATATATATATATATATATATATATGGTTAGAATTCAATAAATACGGCTGCGTATAAACTTTTTTTTTAAATATATATTTTTTCTTGAATACATAATTATTTCGATATTTCGCTGATTTATTGTGATCAGCGTCATGAGGTATAAAAAATAAAATAGTTACAAAAATCGTTATAGTAAAAACAAACCGTTTTCAAAAACAAAAAGTTCTCAACTCCTGTTGAACACTAGCCTTGCTTATTTCGAGTGACTCTCTGATTTTCCGAGTTCGATATTCTGGGGCTACAGATAATGTTTTGGGGTGCAACCAATCAAACTTACCATGGCATGTTTTAGAATGCTCAGTTGCACCCGAACTGGACCATTTTCCTTTTAAGCTAATTTTTTGGTGTTCAATACATCTTGATATCACCTTCTTTTTAGTTTCGCCAATGTATATCGAACCGCATGAACATTTTAGCTGGTATACGCAGGGTCTGTGTTTAGTAGTAGTTTAGTTTTATTGTTGCAGAAAATATTTTTTTAATTGGGAATTGGGGTAAATTGAGATGTGAAAATAATTTTTATGTTTTACTTTTGAAATTCTTTACAAAGTTTTGGACCAACAATTGGTATCCAAGGTAGTTTTATAAAGGGTTGGGTATCTATTGGTTGAAATGTGGTGTTTTTTAAACTGTTTTTGAAATAGTCTATAGTAATATTATTTACAATGTTCTTGTCATTTTCAACAAAGATGTCTATTAGAAAATCATTTCTTTTTGAAGGTGTTTTTGAGAGCATATTCTTTTAGCACGACATAAAAATCCTTTGAAAACGCCAATAATAATGTTAGGATTAATGTTCGATTCATAAGTTCCAGAGCCTGTGTTTGTAATGTTAATATCTAGGAAATTGAGTTGTTTGAGGTCGTTTTCAAGTTCCACTGTGTATTTTATGGCAGGATTTTGTTCATTAAGGATGTTCAGGAACATTTGTTGTTGTTTTATTGAAGCAAAGTGAGCATGACAATCTGAATATCTCTTGTAAGTTTTTGGTTCGGATGTATGAATAATTGCTATGTTAAGGGCTTTTCTTTCTATATTTTGTAAAAACGCTTCCTCCATAACAACCATTAAAGATAAACCTATAGGACCTGAATTAGGTATTATTCGGATATTGTTTTCATATAAAAAATAGCTTATACTTAATGAAAGTTCAATTAATTGATGTATGTCTGCAAGAGTAAGTTTAGTTTGAGTTTTTAAGTCATCAATGTCAGCATTCAATATATCAATAATAACCGAAATTACTTCATCAATGGGTATGGATGGATATAAATTGACTATATCAAATGAAACTTGAACTTCATTAGGATCTATTATCCATTGCTTAGCTTCATTTACAAAACTATTAGAATTCACAAGTCTACTTTTATTTTTGTTCAGAGTCGGTTGAATAATTTTAACAAGATAATCAGATATTCCATAAGGTGGTGTGTTAATTGTTGATACAGCAGGGCGCATTGGGTAATCTTTTTCTGGTTTGTGAGCTTTAATCATTCCGTAAATCCTTGGTGGGTTACAATCTGATGGATACATTTTAAAGTATGTATTTGTGTCTAGTTTACCTTTTTTTCTTAATTTGCACAATTTTCTTAGTTTATTAATTTAGTAGTCAATGTGGATGTTGGATCATAATCAATAATTTTGCTATTTTTTATTTGTTCTTCTAATTTGAGAGATGCATCTTTTTGTTTAATAATGCGAAACCTGTGTCTTTATCGAAAGGATATATCTTAATGTTAGAATTGTTTTTTAATTTGTTTATGGAAAGACGTTGTTGCTTAGTTAAATTATCTTTTAATCTTAATTTTAGCGAATTTGTTAAAATTTGTGAACAGTTTTGTTGTAGAGTTTCTGCCTGTGTTGGTTTTTTAAGTTTTTCAAGTTGTAAAGCGCAAGTTTCGATATTAGTTATAATATCCATATAAGGAATTTTTTTTGGCAGCGGTAAAAAATTTGGACCTAAATTGAGTAGTTCAATTGTTGATTTATCCAGAGTAACATTAGTTAAATTGAGTATAGCAGCTTTAATAACTTGATTGGGAGGATTAAAAGTATTTTTTATAATTGGTGTAATTTGTAATTTATGATATTTTTCTTAATGTAATGGTAATTTTTTGATTTGTTGGTTATACTGTTAATTAATTCATAATCGTGTAATCTTACTTTTGTCTGAAGAAATATATTTAATTCATTAATTAATTTCTTACTTAAATATAATCTGTGTTTGGCTTCGTTACGAGCATGAAATAGTAATGCAGCCATATTTATTGAATTCTAACCATATTTTAACGTATAACAAGAAAATGACATATATATATATATATATATATATATATATATATATATATATATATATATATATATATATATATATATATATATATATATATATATAAATATATTCAAAAATTTTTTACATTTTGAATCTGAATTAATAAATATTTTTATAAAATAGTTAAAAAAAAAAATTTAATGAGCACCACCCTATTAAGTAATTTATGAATATTTTAATGTTAAATTTTTTGTTGGACTGTTTCCTATATAAAAAATAGTTACACAGTTTATTTTTATCATTAAACTCTTTGTTGTATTGCTTAGTAAATAAAAAAATAGCTGTACAACTTAAATATAATGTAAAGATAAATGACAAATACAAATATTTTGAAACTAACAATTTCTGATACAAATTATCTGATACCACTGGCATTGCAGCAATGAGTGGTTGAAGGTCTTATTACCCCCTAACTCTTTCGAAATAAAAAAAAAATTAATAAAATATAATATTAAATATAAAAATATATTTAAAATTTGTGTTTGACATTCTCATATAGCTGGGGCTGTTATTCTTGTACCAATAAAATTAGCATTTAATTACCAACCACTAATTATATTTACAATAGAAAATATTTCTTGTTATTAATTTTTTTTTCTTTATTTCTTACCATTTCTTTGTTTATTTTTTTAATAGCACAAAGATTTTTAATATCTTTAATAGCACAAAGATTTTTAACAAGTATTATTTTTTCAAAATTTAAGAAAATGCAAAATGTCTTCTTTTTTCTTATTATAACAAAACATGGGTAAAAAAACAACATAAGTTGCATGTTTTGTTTTGTTTCTATAACTTCTAATATTTCAAAAGTAAACATTAAACTGTTTTATATAATTGAAAAATTAAATATTTTTTGTATCAAAATAGGTTTAACAAAGGATGTATAAATTTATACTGTTAATTATAATGTTAAAATTATTTTTAACTGTGTATTTTATTGTTAGTAATGTATTCTATCTAATATATTAATTATTTATTTATTTTAAAATTCATAATAAAGCATGTAACTAAATTTAAAGTATGAAAATTTTATGTAAAGAAAAATCTGGCGAATCTCGCACTTGGAAAAAGTGTGGGGTTAAAATAAAACACATGAAAATCAAACATGTGAAAAAAAAAGAACCAAATGTTTGTTAAATAGCAGACTATTGAGGAGATTGTGTCAAAACTAGCAAAAGTGGACATCTTCTCCATTGGTGTTATAACAAAAAGTAAATTCTAAAAAAAATTATTGTCAAAAAAAGACATGATATTATTGAAATCCATATTATGAACATGATAAAAAAATAGTTTAATTTAGCTAAACCAAGTGTAATTTTTAAAGTAACAAAAAAATATCTAGTAGGTTGTGATTTTCTTAATTGCTAAACAAATATACCTTTTTAAGAAATGTTATTTAAATATAAGTTTACACTTATCAACAAAGCTTTGTTGATAAGTGTAACCTAGGGATAATTCCAAAAACTGTATCACTTCCTGCAAATAAAATTGCGGATCTAGTAGATAAGAAATTGTCAGGTGTTTAATTTATCAATAAAAAAGCACACAACAGCAAGCATCACTGACAGAGCATTTGTAATGAAATAATTTGGATGACTAAGCAGTATTGAACATCAGCTGTGTTAAGCTAATAGACTTTATTTAGTAGTATACAATGTTCTTTATAAAAAAAAAAAACTCTTCAATAATTCACCATATAATGGAATAGTTGAAAAGAGTTGTCATAATGAAAGCGGAATTTAAAAAACTAATAAAAGATATTTATTAACATTTTTGAGGCAGCAGAAAACAAAAGTTTAAGTAACATATACTCAACACTAATCTGATAATATGAATACGCTAATTTAATATTATTATTAGTAGAGTTTCTAGGTTTTTCTATACGCGTTTTTTTTTTTTTAATTTTATTTGCTAACAATGCGTATTATGGGTAGCTTACTGCTAGTGGTCATTAAGCCAACATCAATTGAATCAGAAAGAGCTTTTTCTGAAGTGGGACTAATTAAGAAAAAAATTTGATTACAATCAAGTGATAAATCAAATATTTGTTTTATCTTATTTTATTTTTTTTGACACAATTTTTTAATTCTAAAACACAATTTTATGTTTTTGACACAAATTTTTAATTTTAAAAACAATTTAGATTAGTATGTGCTAATATTAACTTTTACTAGAAATAGTTTGTTATTATTTTTAAATTGCGATTTTAGATAAATTAAAAATAATGATAAAATTGCTGAATATAGAAAGCTGCAAGTGGTAACAGTTACACAAATGGAAAAGGTGAAGAGAGGCCAAAAAAAAATGAATACATATTTGCCATTGTTTAAACTTAAAATGCATTGAAATATTTGTTGATGACATAGATTAAATTTATTTTAATTTCTGAAACATAAGTGACACTTAAAAACAACTTTTAAACTCAAAATATAGAAATGTAGGATTGTAAAAACAAAAAGAGGAAATTTTCAGGATTTAAAAAAATGAGCAGAAAATATTTTATAAATATTATTGTGAGAAGAATAAAATGAAGCAGATTTAACTATTTCTTAGATATAGATATTAGTGAAAAATTTAACTCTTTATTTTTTTGAATTAATTTTTATACAATATATCAAGGGAGTGTAGATACCCTCGTTATCAAGTATAATTTATATATATATATATAAAACCATTGAGAACAAACATAATTGCGATGATTTCCTTTGATTCAAATATAAAAATATAGGTTTCCAAAAGGAAGTTGTGACATAACCGCAGTGATCCTAATTCAGATTGTCATCTAAAGGTGCACATTCATGGTGTTGTATTTCAAGTGCCTCCCTTACTTTTCTGTTAAAACTGTTGACTCCTACTTTTAAATTATTTTTATTGTTCCATGTAAAATTACCATGACCATTTAATAATCCCATTTTCCTTCGTATGTATTTTCCTGATGTTGGTAAATGCGAGATGAGATTTTTAATTTTGTTTCACCGATATAACATTTTTTGCAGGAGCATTCAAGTTTGTAAATACCTGGGTAAGAATTTATAGGAAGAGGAGGCTTATTTTTTGTGGTAAGTATATGTTGTATTTTTTTTGGTGATTTAAAGACTGGTGTGTAATCTGCTTTTTTGAAAACTTTATTTAACAAATTCATAGGTTAATACTAAATTAAACAAAATTTAAAAAAACAAACTCTACTAATACCTTAAAGCTTACTGTGCATAATACTTACTAAAGCTTACTGTTTACTTACTAAAGCTAATTACTAGGACTTACTACTAGGGTCTACTAATAGGACTTACTACTGGGGCTTGCTAAAACCTTAAGGCTTTTTGAAGCATACTACTAGGTCTAACTAAAGCTTACTACTACTATAAGGCTTGTGATGGCTGATGTTTATATCTCTTTGTTTAAAATCTCTACACAATTTTTTGTATTCAGACAGTAACATAAGCCTTTTATTTCATCATGTTAGTATTAAATCAAAATTTATTCTATCCATGTATTTCTATAATTTGCGCTGCTCTATCAATTTAATTGAACTATTTTCCTTTATTATTGCAAAAATTTCCATGCAATAAAGATATTGTACAACAGTAAAGTTGATTATCACTTTTAAATAATGTTTAAAAACACATTGCAAATGTAGCCCTTTGTTCTATGGTCATCATGTTGGATTTTTTTTTTTTCTACAAGTACTGTTGAAGTGACTGCTGAAACAAGCTACCATCTTTTGTTCCATCAATATAACAAAATTAAATTTCACACAACACAAGAACAAACTTACACTTGAATATTTTAGTAATTAGAGAGTACATACTCCTTGTAATTAGAGAGTACATACTTCTTGTAATTGGTAAAAGAGTACATACTCATCATGTCATTAAATAACCATTTTGTAAAGCATTTTCATGTTATCTTTTTCATGCTATTAAGTCTTTTAATTTTTTATTTTTTTAAAAGTCCTTAATCCAGTTTTGGATGTAATTTTTCAAAGAAAAATAATTTTTTATGAAAACTTTTTGTAACATACATACACATGTTATATTATTTCTATATTGAAACAATTATTTATAATAATGGGTTGCAAAATATAATTCATAGATTTTTTATATATTTTATGTTACTATTATTATTATTATTATTATTATTATTATTATTGTTACTATTATTATAAATAATTATAATTATAATAATTTGGCAACCATTAATAGATACCAAATTCATTAAACTGCATAGTTTACCTATGTCTAATAGAAAAGCCAATCTTCTTGATTATAAGTTTATTGGTAAATAAGACTCTGAATTAGTTGTTCTATTTGTAACTTTTGTTAAAATATTGTAAATATTGGTTTAAAAATAAAAGAATCAAATAAAACTTTATGCAACACAATTCAGTTTGCTTTAATAAGTCTTTAATAAATCAATTTCTATAAACCAGTCTTAATGGTACAATAAAACAATATTAACAGCAAGTGTTAGGCCTGTGAAATCGTTTAAGGATTGATTAAATAAAATAAAGATTTTTTGACTTGAAAAATTCTTGAGAAAAAATGCTAGTAGTGTTGGTAAATTTTTTTAAGACAGCAGAAGAAAAAATGCTTAAGTAGTTAGAAATTTATCCTTTAAGCAACCTTCTGATTTAGAAGGTTGTATGTCTAATTACCACCATTTGAGAAATAATGTTTGTAATCTGTATACAATAATATTTGTCTAATTAAATATGACTTCCAGAACTAACATTATGAGCTATTACTGACTTTTCTGAAGAAATAGACATTCAAGCAATAGTTTCAACAATATTCCTAATACAAAAACAAGATTTCTTGAATGATCTTTAAAGACTGATAATACATTAAAAAATGAGCTTGATGGATTAACTGGCTAAGTATTTACAGTTGGGAAAGAAAACAGAAACTTCTTGAAAGAATCCAGTTTATTCTTAACTTGTTTTGTTCAACTTCAGTTGTCTGAATACATTAAAGAAAAAAAGAAAACTATTTGGTCTACTCCATACCAATCATCAACTCTATATTGCAGAACAATAAGATACTTGTGATCAATATTTTTTAAAGATTTAGCATTGCTTCACAAACAGTAACAGTAACAATGGAGGATGACAAAGCTGCAACAAAATGGGTCTCTGCTTTGGTCATTCAAATCTCTATGTTTGGAATAGAAGCATGAAATAACTTCTTAAAATTAGCTAGAAATTGATAATGAAAAACTTGGTTACAAAAGCACCCATACAATAGGTTCCATAATAAAAATTGGTCTGGCAATCGATAGGCCAAAATGTGGTCTTGATCATCCAATAATGAAAAAACTGACAGAAGATTTTTTCATAACACAGAGAAATTTGCTAAAACTCTTAAAATAGATGTCAGTATAATAAAGATGTATCATGTTATTTTGTGTACATTGTTATCTGGCTTTTAAGTGACTCTTGAAAAAGAATTTAATTGACTAATTGACAAAGAAAACTCTTACGAAACAGCTGGAAAGTATATAACATATTAAGGAAAGTTGGAAAGTATATTTTTATTTGTTCGCAAAGATCTTAGCTAAATAACTAAAACTCAATTAATTGTTGGTAGGAACCCTTAGCAATTAGGTTACTTTTAAAGTCTATACTTTAACCATACATTTTTTAAACTTTTGTATTAGCAGTTTCAAAAAAAAAAAAAAAAAAAACAGTTTTTAAGAGATTTGTAAAGAAAAAAAAATAATTAATTTTTGTTGTTGCTTTACATATCTCTTGAAAACTGATTTTTTTTTTTTTTAACTGCTAATACAAAAGTTTAAAAAATGTATGGCTAAAGTATAGCCTTTAAAAGTAATTTGTTGCGTATGTAATCATTTAAATACATAAAACAATTTCCAACCTGTCTGCAGATTTATTATTAGTCTTGTTTATAACTATGGGGTCTTTAATAAATTTTTTGAAATTGGTAACAATGTAAAATGCAGTGTTGCTATGCATTTCTGGTGTACCAAGCGCAACCAAGTAAACAATACAATAATTACACTAGATTTGTAGTATAAAAAATACTCAATCCAGTAATTATGGGGAAACTTAACTAAATATTGTAAATAACTTTACTTTTGTCTAAAAAATAATAATTTTTAACCTATTGTACAATGGTTAATTTTTTTCTGGGTGAACTGTTATTCTTTTAAAAAATAATACCTTTTAGTAATTAAAATAATCTTCTGTTAATTTTTGAACAAATCAACATTAATACCCAATCATTAAGTCTTTAAGAAATAATACAATTAATAAGGTCATTTGAAAGTTGTAACCACTTTTTGTGGTTACAAATCTCTCTCTACTCTTTAACTCTGAAACATGAAACTTGGTGAACCAGGCTGCTGTGAGAAGAAACAAGCTGAGCCTAGTACTACCAGCGATGTGGTGGGCATTGAACTCAAAACTATTTGCTTATGAAGCAAGCACATTACCACTACACCACTACTGCATAGATAGATATTATAAAATATACTTTTATATCCTATATAGCCTCCTATTATAAGAATTTACAGGTTCTTACATATTAAATATTATTCTTATTCAAAAGATTCTTACAGCTCATATACAAATAAAAGATAAAATAGATTAACAAAAAAAAAATTACCTTTTAACAAATTGGTTCATACATACATATATTTGCAAATTATCGTTGTCCGAGTAAATACCTCGACCATAATATTCTAATGTATTATAAATATACATACATAAAAATACATACATCAATGCATGCATATATATACATATATGCATACATAAAAAATGCCTAACAAAATAGCTTAATGTGAATTTGATGTCATAAAATTCTTTTAATTTTTTTATTGTTTAAAGAATAACTTTTTTAAATTAGTGCAATAATATTAATTTCCGAAAATTGAGTTGAATATTATTTAAGTTCATTTTTATTATTACCTAATATTTGTTTATTTAAATATTAAATAGTCAATTAGTTAACTTTCCAACTCGCTTTCCAGACAACCCAAATCATTTACCTTCTCTACTCAACTTATATCTAGTTTCTGATCCTAGTCAGTGCTCAGTTTCTCCACATTCACCTTAGGTGTCTCTGATCACAGTTTAATCTCTCTAAAACTATTATCTTCTTAATCCCCCTATCATCATACATCTTACAACTATTTTAAAGCTGACTGGGACTCTTGCCGAGATTTTGTTTGTGATGGCCCTTGGGTAGAAATCTTTCGTCTTCCTGTTGACAAATGTGCATCTTACATAACTTCATGGATTTAGGCTGGCATGGAATCCCTCTCGACGATTCCAGGTCAAGCTTCACTCTTCTTCATGGTTTTCCTCATATTGTGCTGCTGCAATTGCCAATTACTTCCATTACTTCCATATCTATCAGCATTACTTCCATATCTATCAGCAAAACAATTAAAAAACCATTACTTCCATATCTATCAGCAAAACGATTCTCCAGAAAACAGACATCTATTTATTACTACTGCTAGAAACCATTGTAAAAAGGTTTTGTCTAACGCCGAGGCTTAATCTCTTATTTCATCATAAAAATTAGGCTCTCGTGACTTCTGGAGAATTTTTAAAAAATATCAATAATAAGGGCAAGTCTGTAATTTCACCTCTTTTGTATGGTTCAGGCTTAATCACCTCACCTAGAGACAAAGCTGAATTATATGCTAAGAACTTTTCATCAATATCATCTCTTGATTCCACTAGTTGCGTTCTACCTGATATAGCCATAAAACAGGTTGATCAACTGCTTGAGCTTGTTGCCCAGACAACATGCCTGTTATAGTCTTGCAGAAGTGTTCTTCGAAGCTGTCGTCTAATCTTTCAAAACTATTCAACAAGTGCTTATCAGTGTATTGTTTTCCAGTCTGCTGGAAAGCAGCATCTGTTATCCCTATTTCTAAAAATTCTGGAGAGCAATCTGATTCGTCTAACTACCATCTTATTAGTCTTCTACCATAAACAAGGTTTTTGAATCTTTAATTAACAAACACTTAATCTCCCATCTTGAATCTAATAACTTACTTTCTTATCATCAATATAGATTTCGATCTTCTTGTTCTACAGTAACTTCCAACACTAATTAGTGGTTGCTTGCAGTTTTGTTGGAAGCGAAGATGTTTAAAAACAAATAAATAAATAAATTTTTGACCAGCCTTGCACCCCTTCCTCATCAATTAGGCTGGCACAGATGTATTTATAATACATTGTTTCCAGTTTAGGATGTTGAATGTTGGATCTTCTTGACTCAATGCACAGCTCTTGCTTGTGTCTCTGTTTTTTTGACTAGGCAACTCATTCTATTATCTCCTAATGAGGGTACAGCTCTAAAACTGTACCCTCAGAACCACAAGTTTTGTGGTTCTGAGGCCGGCTGGTTGTCAGGTTTCTTGAAGTCTGTGGTAGCTTTCAGAGAGGCTGATTCCATCAACAGCCGTAAAATATCAGAGTACTAACAGTGCCATGATGTGCATAGACGGTATCCCTGTTTGCATCTTTGGTGTGAATTATCAAGGCCACATTTGGAGCCCTTTGCTTTTGCTTAGGGTTTATTAATAGTATTGAGGCAATTGCTTGGACTAGTAAATAATGTACCAAGTACTATCTGTGCTCTGAGACAAGTTTCTCAAAAAATTTAAAAATGACTAAATTACCAATAACTATAAAACAAGAAAAATTATTGTCATTACCAGGTTCTCTAAACCTATTAATCACTAATATTCGTGGTCTTTGAAGTAACTTTTCTTCTGTTATCTTTTGCAAAGTTCACCCTACCTACTTTTTTTTTTTTTTTTTTTTAAACATCTTAGCTTCCAACAAGGCTGCAAGCAACCACTAATTAGTGTTGGAAGTTACTGGAAGAGAAAGGATGAAGATTGTAGAGCAAGATTGACAGACGACTTAAAAGATTGTAAATTATATGAATCAGGAAAGCAAGATAAAGGAAGCGAATTCCAAAGAACTGATGTTTGAAGAAAAAAACTAGACGAATAAGTGTTTTTGGAGCACTTAGGAACAGTAACAGAAAAAGGATGAGACTTAATTGAATAATGAGTAACAGCACTCAAGGTTAATGTTTTTTAACAATGTCTTTTAAGATGGCCAATTCTGAGTACCCGAGAAAACAGCCAAATTACCAAGTTCCCAGATCCCAACCAAGTTCCTGGCACATAAATAATATATCTATCTATCTATCTATATCTATCTATCTATCTATCTATATATCTCTCTCTCTATATATATATATGTATATATATATATATATATATATATATATATATATATATATATATATATATATATATATATATATATATATATATATATGTATATATATATATATATATATATATATATATATATATATATATATATATATATATATATATATATATATATATATATATATATATATATATATATATATATATATATATATATATATATATATATGTATGTATGTATATATATTGCTTCCCAACAAGACAGGTTCTACACATTTTTACTTTTTTAATTTTGTATTTTATTAACTTGTCAAGTTTTAAATATAAACTATAATTATGATCTTTAATTGAATTCCCTAAAAAGTGATTTAAAACTAGAAAAAAAGTGTTTTTTGCAATATTCAATTATACAATATAAAGGTTTTTATTAACCATTAACCAATTAGTGTTGTTTATTTAAATTAAAATCTTAAATATGTAAAAATAATGAAATTTTAAGAAATATTTATTTATTTAATATATAAAGTTTACAACATCTTATTATTAATAAGACAATGTAGCAACTTTTTCCAATAAAAAAAGTTTTGAACATATTATACCAATATCAAATAAAAAATGGCAGCTGTTTTGCAATAACTTTGCTACTCTTATAATGATGATATATTGAAAATTTTCTTCAAGCAAAATCATTATTGATAATTTCAATACTGATTAGCTTTCTAGAATACTTTTGAACTAGAAAAACTTTATCTAAGTTTTAAAAGTTTTCCAGATATGTGAAATTTCAAGAAAGTTTAACAACTTTCGAACATTCTCAGAATGTCATATAGTAGTTTAGAAAATATCAAGATATTAAATTTTAACTAAACCATTTTTGAGTGACTATTTACTTTTTTTTCTTCTGTTAACACTGTTTGATTTATTTTCTCTTCATTTAATTTGTTTTTGATGTATTAAAACTTTTTTAAAAGTAGAAAATTGCAAATAAAAAAGATATAAAATGTATTCATTACAAATTAAGCAGCTATAAGCACTTGCTTTATATAATGCAAATAAAAACTAAAAGTAAAACAAATAAAATAGGTGAGATTTAAATAAATTATATTATTTTCTTTTGTTAAAAATCCTTTAGAAGAATAAAAAGTCTTGTATTGAACTTTAATGTAATTTTTTCCTAATTAAAAATATCTACAAAATTTAATTCAATATTTTATTTCAATTATATAGTCAAGAAAAAAAGTTTATTCATTATTAGATTTTTGCTACTTAAGTACTGAAAAAATAAATTTAATAACATTATGGTAAAAATTTATTTATAGTTCTTAATTAAATTTTTAACTCCTAATCTTTTATCACTAAAATATAAATTTTTATTAAATTAATACTTTAATAAGTTTGTTCATTAAAAACATATATTTTAATCTGAAATCTAAATTAGTGTAATCAGTCCAGAGAACAGCACTAATAAATTATTTTTTCGAAAGTTAGCCTGTCAATTCTATGTTGTCTTTAGTAAGAAATAAATCTTAAAAGCAGGACTTACCAGGCACACAATTACCAGGCACACGATTAGGATTGATTGTCTCAATGCTACTTGAACAATTTAGTTGTTTTGTTATTTTTTTGAATGTGTCCCAAGACCTTCCCTCAGCATTTTCAAAATATAAATTTATTGGTATATCAAGACTATAAGTTGTACCAAATAAGCACTGAGTATTATTAATTGTAACAGTTATACTTTGATTGATTTCATTTTGTGTTAAATTGAAAATCTAAAATATGGTGTATAAAGAAGCATTTTTTAAAATTCAAAAGGCAAAAAAATTTTCACGCATAAATTAAAAGCATAATTTAAAAAAAATTTAGCCATCAGAATCAAGAATTATACCTTATATTTAAAATTGTTTGAATTAATTTTAATAACATCCACTGATGAACTTTCAGATTGCAGCATTATGAAGGGAGGAATTAAATATTCCCAAGTTACATTAAATGCTAAATCTATTGAATCATTATTTTCCAAATGAAAACTGATATCCAAAGCATATCTAAAAATTATATTAACTTTTGATTTACATCCATAAAATTTTTTACATCAGAAAGAAATATTAAAAAAAAACTATTTAACTTTTCCTCATGTGTTTCTATTTTATTATTTTTTTTAAATTAAGTGAAATCTTAAAAATAAAAATTAATAACAACTTATTAAAAAGTCAAACAAAAACAACAAATAAATAGAGACTAATCTTTGAATTCATCAATAGATGAATTCAAAAAAAATAAAAAGCAAAGAATAAAAAGAAACTGATTTTCTTTTCTCGAAAACACTTTTTACAATTTACAATTTAGATCTTGTGATATATTCATTGTCTTACATTTCTCAGTAAATTGTGGTAAACAAAGGATTTTTATTAGGGCATTTTACAGCAAAATGTTAATATAGTTTTGTTTAATTAATTTTTACATAAGTTAATATTTGTTGCATTAAATAAAACAAAATGCCATTTCAATGTTTTTTAGAAAAAGTCATTTAAAAATAAGAAATATGTTTTGTATATGTTGTATATAAGTGACATGTATAAATCAAACAGTATAAACAGAGCTCACCAATGTAAAATATCTGCATAAATTCTTCAAACTCGCCCTTGTTATGAGAATGAATGCAAGAATGGCTTGAATGACCCTTAAATTCTACCTAATGTAAATTTAGGAATTAATTTTAGAATTTTCTGAAAATTGATCAACAGAAAATATCAGTTTTCCTTAAAGAATCTGAATGTTTGAATTTGATGGCAAATTTTATGTTATCACTCCAGGCTAATTTAGAAAGAATTTATTCTGTTCCATTTACATTTTATGCTTTAAATTTCTCATATTTCTTCAAAATTTCATACACAATATGATACTTAATGTTGGGCAATTGTTATTCTGCTTTCACTTTTCTGGAAAATTCTGTCCAGAATGTACAACTGAAAACTAAATTTGACAACTAAATTGCATTTTGTTGATATTCTTCTATAAAAAAATGATGTAAGGTTAAGTGACAAAATTAATTTTTTTTGCTCAGCATTAACACTGGTTGTACTAGCGATCATTATTCCTATTGAATTCCAAAAGTTATATCTCTATTGAAATCCACAAGTTTAGTTAAAAATGTTTCTAATTCCTAATACAATACATATAACTTTTCTTTAGTTCTCTTATGCCTGGACCTGATATTAACTTTCCATTCCTAACTACCAGAACCTGATATCCATTTTCCAAATGCTTGCCATCAAACTGTCGAGAGAGTTAAGGCACATTGATACATTTTTACTTTGAAGTGAAAAAATCAAAACAATGATCTAATAGTAACAATAAAGCTTTAAAAGTAAGTTTGTTGCTTATCTAACAAGTCTTATTTGGAACGCATTACCTCTAAGATCTATATAAAAAAAAAAAAATTAGACCCATTTAATAAAAAAATGAAATTCATATCAAACAACCCCTATCACAGGGTACAGTGATAGATGTCAGAGACAAATTAATTCAGCTAATGTTAATGAAAACCTAAAAAGTAAAATAGAAAAAAAAAAAAATTGTCCCACATTTTCTAACTTTAACTCATGATCATTATAATATTACATCAAAATACAATTGCTATCAATTACTTTGAGAGAAATGTTGTTCGAAGACAAATTTAATTAAAAAATAAAAAGAGAAGCTCTCCTATCTGTAAAGTTCTTGAAAATGAGACTAAACAAAACCTTTATTTTTTTCATCAGGAAAAAAAAAATTCAATTGCCTTATGTTACAAAAAAAAAAAATCACAATAAAACTTGTTTCAATTATGAATGTCTACTATAAGTCCATTAGCTGATGTAATATTTTACCATTTATACAGTGTATAAATGGTATAATAATGTCAGTGTTCGCTGTTTAGCCAAAACTTTTTTGCTCAAGTCTTTTCGCGCTTGTCCACACGCCTGAAAAAACTTTGGCAAGCGCATAAAAAAGTGCTTATCAAAATAATAAGTCTTTTATTTTAAATTGCAACAAAACTTTTTTTTTCCATTTGTTCAACTTTTATGATATGTGGCCTTTTTTCACTAGTTTTTTTTTTTAAATTACTTCATCTAGTATTTATTTAAAATATTTTTAAGTTAGTCTACGTGATGTAAAAAATATAATTTTTTACATCAAGTAGACTAACTTAAAATTGTCAAAGCTTTTTCGTGCGCTGGCATTAAATTTCAAACGGATATTGTAATGTGTATAAAATACACATTATAATAAAATGTAATTACACATGTATAATATAATTATGTTATCACAAATTGTGCAGTGCACAGTGGCAGCCAACAAAAAAATCTTTAAAAATAACAGCAAACTAACAGGTTTCTTGCATGGCCAACACAACTGAGTGGCTAGATGGCACAGACTTCTCACTTTTTTTAAAAAGATCTTTTAATTATTTTTTAATTATTTTTAGACATTTCAAGATATATAGGGCTTTTTTTAGAAATAGACAATTGTGCCCCTCACTTCGTAACCCATGTTGTATAATTAAAACCAAAATGTATCAATAAGAAATGATGAAATGAAGATTATCACACTGTTAACATATAGCAATTAATTCTATTGTGACTCTAGTAGTCATATCCTACAGTTACACACACACTCTCTCACACACCTACACACACACACACACACACACACACACACACACACACACACACACACACACACACACACAAAAAAGCTCAAAGTAAGTTCAAGCAAATTCTAATTAGGTACTTTATGTAAGAAGTAAAATAGACAAGGATGTATCACTTAATATCATAACTTATATAACTACTTAATCCTAATAACAATTTATTTTAGTTTGTAATCTATTCTTTTACTTTATTTTTAGTTTAGTAATCCATTCTTTTTGTTAACAATTTTTGTAAAGACCAAGAAAGTACAAGATTATAAAAGTCCAAGACCTTTATACTACGGGCTTAAAGATCAAGACTCAAAGCTTTGATACCAAATCATTTAAATAAAAAGACATTTAAAGATGTCTTGAGACCAATTATTAGACTCTCAAAACTTATATCTCTGCTTTTAACTTTACAAGTTGAGTACATTATTTATTTTTGATTTTTACTTGTTGATAATGAAGTTATTTGAATTCAGTGAGGAGCCTTTAACTGTTACCTTTATTATCAAATTCAGACAGCTGTACTTTCCAGATGGTCCAGATATTCTTATTCTTTTACATAACAGTATCACTTTTTTTGCATTGTTATGTTCTACTTAATATTTTAAGCAAAACAGAAATTAACCTTTGTTTGACAACAATACTTTGTATAAACAGTTTTACTGATATATATAAATTAGTAGAATATCACTTAACAAAAATTTTTAAAACACACACACACCTACACACACAAACACACACACACACACACACACATTCACACACACACACACACACATATATATATATATATATATATATATATATATATATATATATATATATATATATATATATATATATATATATATATATTTATATATATATATATATTTATATAATATATATATATATATATATATATATATATATATATATATATATATATATATATATATATATATATATTGTTATTATTTATTGTTCTTCACACATTTGCATACCTATATTTACAAATATTGAATTCATGATAAAAATAGCTGTTTTATGTAAAAACGAATTGAGGGCAGTACTACAATTGTCAAGAAAAATTTTGTATTTTGATTCAGAACTCAAGGCCCAAAAATTATTAAAAAAAAAAGTAATAATAATAATTTTTACATGTTTTTGACTTCATTTTGCAGTTCAAAACTATTGTTGCTTATTGTGTAAACTTCATTGGCATAAGGTCCACCTCTACCATTCGAATAGCATTTGTTTGACACTCCAAACTTTTGGTAAGATGCATTATTTCCTGCAAAGCATTGTCCACCATTTTGTAAAGCAAAGATTCTGTAGCCATAGTTTGATGCAGTTTTGTAACAATAACTTAGAGGATCAGTGCGTTTGTGATATAATAGAATTTCCTCAGGCGATTTGCCTTCAAGAATAACTAATGCTCTATCCTGAGTATCTCCCCAGCATCCAAGTTTTCTGAGAACAATATATTACAAAAATTATTTAAGCTAGTTTAAGTTTAAAATTTTATTAAAATAAATAAAACATTTTGGGTTCTATCTATTTTTGTATAATTCTAAACATATTTTAAGGAAATTGGTTAATTAATCAACTTTCAACAAGGCCTGATTGTCTACATTGAAAGGATCATTTCAATGTAGATAATCAGACCTCGTCGAAAGTAGATCAAACAAGCAATTTCCTTAAAATTTGTTTAAAATTTATTTTTCAAAACTAATTTTATTCTTTAACTGGAATTTTATTCTTTCAATAGAATTAAACCTCCAAGGAGGTTAAATAAAACTATATTTAAAAAATAAAAGTAATAATATAGATGAAAGTAAATCATTTTATAAAAGAAGCAATAAATTGACAACAGTTTCAAATTAACTCATGATATATACAAAAAGTTAAACTAAGGCGCAAGTAAAAGATAAAAACAAGTAATAATAATGTTATTAGTATTATTATTATTGCTATTATTATTATTGCTATTATTGCTATTATTATTATTGTTGCTCTTATTGCTATTATTACTTTTATTATTATTGCTATTATTATTATTATTATTATTATTATTATTATTATTATTACTATTAATATGTGTATACTTAATTCTACTATATTAAAGCAGTTTTAGGAAAACAAATTTACGATCATAATGCAAAATAGTTGTCATAGTAAAATTATTCCATATAACATTAAAAGAGTATATTGAATGAAATTTAATAGCGTAAATACGAAATAAATATCAATATGAACGGTGTTCATGACAACATAAACGCTGAACTTGCGTTAAAGACAACGTGAGTGGTGTTCAAAATACACTACTCGGTGTAGTTAAGGCACTTTTAAAATATTATAGCGTCTGTATGATATTTTGTTGATTATGACATATTTCCGTGAAATGGTCTGGTCTGTGAATTATGAAAAGACGAAAAAAAATAAAATAATAAATTTTGCGGTATCATAAAATATAAATGTTTATAGCGAAAAAACACAGACCGTGGAATCTTTTTTTAAAAAAAAAAATCATCTCGTCCAAATTTAAATAAGATTTTATATTAATACGTTTTTTATGTAAAATGAACCTTATAGTTTAACAATATGATATGTTCTGATCGTTTATTGGCAATTATTTATAATTATAAGCTCTTTCTTGGTCGAAATTCTAGTATTTTTTGTGAAAATTGATGGAGATATTATGTTTTGACAACTATATATAGTTAATATACGTCAGAACCGATTAGAAGGATCAGGATTAAATTAAGTAACTTTTTAAAAAGATTTTAACTAAATTCATGTTAATGTCGATGAGCGAAATTGATCTAAAGACTCCAAAATAGTGTTCTTTAGGTACATTATTACTGGTTGTAAGAAGATTTTAAAAATTATATATAAAAAAGAAAAGTTTCTTCAAATATTATAAAAACGTTAAGCAAAAAAAATTATAACATTTAAAGATCTTATTTGGGCATAATATGCTGACAAAGCTATGCTAATTCCAAATAAAAGTATTCAAATATTTTGTAAATCTCCTTAACAACACCGAGTAGTCTCTCGCGCAAATTGAAACAGGCACTGCGGTGCACAATTAACTAGGAGTGCACAAATAAGAAAAAATTTGCCATCATCAACCAGAGATAATTGAATAAATTCAATACCTAAGAAGTCTGTACCATCGTCTATCTCATCATTATTAGCTTCTTCTTCATCAGAATTGTTATCCATAGCAACTGCTATATTTACAAATATTTTGGGCCTAAACGCGCAATAAACTGAGATGCGCAACTAATTGGGTGCGCAATTAAGCAAGAGACTACTGTAACATAAACGGTATTCATAAAAAAATGTTCATATTTTTAAATTTCGAGCCCTGATATATACATTTCATGTATATATCAGGGCTCAATTTAACGGTCGGAAATTGCTGCTCCTCGGACCTTAAGACCTGCTAGAGGAGGGCAACAGACCATTGTTAATTTTTTCATAAAAAATGAACTATGGTTGGTTGCCCCCATAAATCAGATTTCTAAAACAGTACGAGGCGGTGGGAGGGGGGGGGGGTGCTTTAGTTTCAGTTCTTGATAGAAATATGCTATCTTTACACATTGCTCAATTATTTTGAAACACCTAATTTAAATGACTAATAGTAGAGTAAAATATAGTTAGATTAGTATACTATGCTCTGTTTTATTTGCTTACACTGTATTTTAGATAAGTTTAAAAAAGAAAACTCAAAGTTCAATCTAAAAATAATAGTTCAAAATTTATTATTTTAGGCATCATTTTTAAACACTCCTTTGATGCTTAATTATGTCTTATAACTTAAGAAGTGAAATTATTAGATTTCCTTAAAATGAGAGAAACTCGGTTAGGCAAGTTGAGATAAATTGTCAAAATGAAAGAGCCTTGGCGAGCTAAGATGAATTGTAATCAAAATGAAAGAAATCAGACTAGGCGAGAACTCAATAGGTATAATATGCAGCGGAGATTTAGTTGTTATTTTACTTCTTTAGTTCAATTTTAGAGCTCTTCCAACTATCATGTTTACTTTTTCTACTGTTAAAATATATGGTTTTAACTTAGTAAACCTTAATTGTTTAAAATTTGCTAAGTTGATCATTAGCTTATAGTTTAAAAAGAAATTAGTTGCCACAATCAAGTTATGAATAATTTTATTTTTTGATCAAATTGCAATATTTGTTTGCACCGATAGCTTTGTGTTTTTGTTATTTTGTGCAATTGCTAATTGTTTTTGCAACAAATTTCTTTTCTTAAAGATTTTGACTATTTTCAACAATGCTCTAGAAAAAGCATCAGCAACAGGTAAATTAGTTTGTATTTTATTTTTTCATTTTAGACATCTTACAATGCTTTTTCAGCTTATTGCAGATCAAGTAGAGAACCAACATCTTTGTTTCTGAGGCAAGTGTGCTACCACTGCGCCACGGCTGCTCATTAAACAGTGTTAAAAAATAATATTATAGCATGCCAAAGTGGTTGAAGTGATTTGCGTGGGTTTAAATCCTCTGGTTTTCACATTTAATTTTTTTTTTTATCTTTTCCAATTTTCTAGAATACAAAGTAAAACAATTTTAATGGTCTTTATTATTATTATAAAAACAATTACATATATAATTTAGTGAAGAAAAAAAGGTTTAAGAAGTATTAAGGGTCATTTGATTATAATGTAAGACATTTGATAAAGTAGGATCATGTGGTTAAAGAAAACTTGAGGAAGAGTTAACAAAAATTATAATAGTTTTAGATATTTTATGATATATAATAATAATAATTTTAAAGATATTATATACATAACATATATAAAGATATTATATACTATAACAAACGAAAGGAAGAGAATTTTTTAAAAAGCTTTTTTAAATTTCTGAAAACATGAAAACACCATCAGAAATTTGTTGCGCGTATATCTGGTAGAGTTTAAGGTTTTAATATACTTAGTAATAGATTGAGTGTACGCATTAAAGAGACAACTTTCTTTTTTATAGAAAAAGATTTTACAAGGAAACCTTAATTTTCTTTAAAATTAACAGGGCAAGAGTCCTATACCAGGGATTATACCAGGGATTTTCTTTTTCGCGATATTTCGAATTCCGGATTATTTTGAACTTTTAGTTTTTCCGGACAGTTAAAAAGTTTTCCGTACATATACAAGTTTAGGAATATATTTTTGTAATATATTTATTTTTAAGCTTTTTCACTCATCACTCATACTAAAATTAAAAAGAATTTGAAACACTCAGCTAAAAGCAAATTTAAGAGAAAAATATATTCACCGAAACAATTTTCCGTTTTTTTAATAAAATAACCTGGATGATCTGTGGAATAATTCAGGCGATTTACAAATTATTCTAATTCTTTTATTTGGAATTAACATGGTTTTATCAGCGTATTATGTCGAAACAAGAGCTTTAAATAATGTAATTTTTTTTGCTATTCAAAGAAACATCTTTTTCTTAATGTTATTTTCAAAACCTTTTTACTATCCGTTATAGCGAATCTAAAGAACACCATTTTAGAGTCTTTAGATCAATTCCGCTTATCGGCGTTTACATGAATTAAGTTAAAATCTTTTGAAAAAGTGCCTTAATTTACTACTGATCTACTAGGTGTCAAAATACTAGAATTATTTTCACAAAAAATACTAGAATTCCGACCAAAAATGAGCTTATAATTAAGAAAAATTGTCAATTAACGATCAGAACAGATCATATAGTTAAACTATAATTTTCATTTCTTCTAAAAAACGTATTTATTTAAAATCTTATTAATATTTGGACAAGCGATTGTAATTTTGAAAAGATCTGTTTTTTTTTAAAAAAAAATTTTTGATCTGGTTTTTTCGCTATAAACATTTATGATTTATGATACGGCAAAATTTATTTATTTTTGTCTTTTCATAATTCACAGACCGGATCGTTTAACGGAAATATGTCGTCTCAACAAAACATCATACAGATGCTATAATATTTTAAAGTTGCCTTAACTACACCGAGAAGCTGCTGATAACCCGAAAAAAATTAATAGAAACTTATATAAGAAAAAAATAATAAGGTCCGTCCCCATTTATATATATATATATATATATATATATATATATATATATATATATATATATATATATATATATATATATATATATATATATATATATATATATATATATATATATATATATATATATATATATATATATATATATATATATATATATATATATATATATATATATATATATATATATATATATATTTAAACAATTTAAAATGTATTCTACAAAAAGAGTGCTCAATGTTCTTAAAATAACAGAGCAATTACAAATTAGTAGAAAATCACTTAGCAAAATTTTTTCTCATTTAACACTGTGTTTCATCAATAAAGGTTTCTGATGAGTCTTTACTGATGAAACACAGTGTTAAACGAGAAAAAATTTTGGTAAGTGATTTTCTACT